GTTCATAAACCAAGCGTTTTTGTTTGATTAGTTTACGTTTAGCCGTTTGCGAGAACAGACGTTATTGGAGTCAGCGAGACTCAACGTCACCGTTAGTTACTTTTTATCGAGTGTTTTATATTTCTTCGTATAAACTATAATGGATCATCTACCAAGTACGTCACGATCGGTTAGTGTTACAGATCCGAAATTTGAAGAGAAAGTGTTAAATTGGTTCAATGATTTGGACTCTGAATATAGTGATATTGATGATATTGACAGTGATGCGGTAATAGAAAGCAGTCATGAGTCGGCATCTGAGCAGTCTGATAGTGAATCTGATCCAGAAGACAATATTCCAGAAACTTTAAACCAAGACTCGTCCAGTGATAATGAAAATAATATATTGGCGTCAAGATCTTCAAACTACTTTTATGGTAAAAACAGATTTAAGTGGTCAGCTAGTGCACCAAAAAATATTCGTACTCAAAAGCATAATATTATTGTACATTTACCGGGGCTGCAAGGAAAGGCTCGGTCTCTTGGTCTTTCGGCACCTCCAAAGGAAATTTGGAACTGTTTATTTACAAATCAAATGTTAAATGTTGTAGTCGAATGGACAAATGTAAAATTGGCGAGTGTTAGGGTCAAATACAAAAATGAAAAGAGGCCGGAATTAAAAAATGTCGACCAGGTCGAAATGGAAGCATTTTTAGGCTTACTAATTTACACCTCAGTATTTAAGTCCAATGATGAAGACATAGAATGTCTATTTGCTACAGATGGAACGGGCAGAGAAATTTTTCGGTCCGTAATGATTGCCAAGAGATTTGCAGTTTTATTGACTTGTTTACGTTTTGATGACCCTTCCACGAGAGAACAACGAAAAGCGGTAAATCCACTAGCACCAATTCAAGAACTATTTGAATCTTTTATTCAAAACTGTCAAACGGAGTTTTCTGTTGGTGAATATGTATGCATTGATGAAATGTTAGTTGGTTTCCGGGGTAGATCACGCTTTAGAATGTATATTCCAAACAAACCACGAAAATATGGACTTAAAATTATGATATTAACAGATGCAAGAAACAACTATGTGTACAATGCGTATGTATATACAGGCCAAGATTCCGACGGAATGGGCCTTTCAGTAACTGAGAAAAAGCTTGCTAAACCTACTCAATCTGTGTAACGGCTTTCTAAGCCAATATTTGGCAGTAATCATAATGTGACAGCTGACAATTGGTTCACGTCTATAGAACTAGTTCAGTTGTTGAAATCTAATGGCCTAACATATGTGGGAACTATAAAAAAGGTTAAAAGACATATTTCTCCTGAGTTTCTTCCTCAAAGGCATAGAGAGATTGGTTCAGTTAGATATGGTTTTACAAAAGACGTAAGACGTAAAAGACGTTTACGTACTTACTGGAATTTAAAATTTTAACAGGCAAAGAGATTTTATATTAATGAACGTTTTGTCTAAAGAAGTGAAAACACGTAGACCTAGAAAGTGCAATGACAGCAAACAAAGAAATAATGCTAAAAACTACTTTTTAAGTAACAATCATAAGATACAAGTATGCCAAAAGTTTTTCTGTGCAACACTCTGTATTTCAAATTTACCAATCATCAATGCATTTCAATATAAAAGTCAGAGTGGGGAATATGGAGGTGAAGACAATCGAGGTAAACATATTCCGTGCAACAAAACATCGGATGAAATTAGATTAAGAGTGAAAAATCATATTGAGAGTTTCCCAGTGATGGAAAGTCACTATACAAGGAAGTCAACAAAAGACTCTACCTAGATAAAAATCGAATAAAAAAGATGCATGGTCTCTTTTTAGAAGATTGCCAAAGAAATAATATGCCAAAAGTAAGCAGCATTACTTACAGACGAATCTTCTGTAAGGAATATAATTTTTCCTTTTTCAAACCAAAGAAGGATCAATGCATGACTTGCAGCGAATATGAAAAGGCCGCTCCAGAGGAGAGGACAAAGCTGGAACAAAAGTATCAGATGCATTTAGAAAGAAAGGATGCAGCTATGAAAGAAAAAGAAGCCGACAAACAGAGAGCAACTGATGAAAATGGTTTCATATCCATTTCCTGTGACATGCAAAGTGTGTTACATATTCCAACATCTGAAATTAGTTTGCTTTATTATTTACGGAAACTAAACTTATACAATTTTACAATTTATGAATCTGCTCCACCCAATGACGCATTTTGTTATTTTTGGACAGAAGTAAATGGAAAAAGGGGTAGCTGTGAAATTGGCACCTGTTTGTCACTTTATATACAATCATTAACAGAGAATAGAAAAAATGTGATGCATTTAACTATCTTCTCTGATACGTGTGGTGGCCAAAATCGGAACATTCAAGTAGCCGCTGTATTGCTTCATACTGTCCAATGCCATCCAACCCTTGATGTCATTGAACAGAAGTTTATGGAGAGTGGGCATTCCTACATGGAAGTGGATTCTATGCACAGTTCCATCGAAACCGCCAAGCACAAAATAGATATTTTTAGTGTACATGAATACGAGAATATCTTTAGAATGGCAAGAAAAAACAGAAAAGGTGATAAATCTGCTTACAAAACAAGAGAAATTGAACATAACGAATTTTTGGATTTGAAGAAACTGGCTCAGATGATGATAATAAATAAAAACAAAGACTTTGAAGGAAATACTGTTAATTGGCTAAACGTGAAATGTTTTAGGTATCAAAAACAGTTGCCCAATGTCATTCAATATAAATATAATTTTGCAGATGAGTATAAAAGTATACATGTTAATTTTAAACGAACCCTTAGCAAGAGAAATGTTAAAGAGGACGTTTCAAAAATTCTAACTATTCCTAAATTGTACACTAAGCAGTTGCCAATTTCTGAAGCAAAAAAAAAGGGACTTGGTGAAACTTTGTAAAAAAAATATTGTACCTCCTGCTCTTCACTGTTGGTACGAGAGTCTACCAACTTCAACCTTAGTAAGGGACAATGCAGCCGAACCATCATCTCTTAGTGATTCAGAGGATGAAGAAATACTATAAATTAAAATATCAACATTTTAAATAATTTTATACTATCATATTTTACTTAATAAAAAATCGTTTTTTAATTTTTTTCACTAATTTTCTATGAGGTTATTTAAGTACTTTCTATAAGACCAAACTTTAATGTACGAATAAGTCAACAATGCGATTATAAAAGAACAAGCAAAATACATTAATTTTTCAGTTTCAGGTAAAACACATTAAGTCATTGCGAGGTTAACAAAAACTAGTTTATTATAGTTCTTCCTTTATTAGATTTAATATTTTTTTTATAAAAGATTGTTCTTAAAACATGTGTGAAGATATACAGAGTGGAGATTTTATTAAAAAAACTAACGCGGATCCTTAAATTATTAATAAGAAGATGAGTCAAATTTAAAAATGCAATAACTCAAAAGCCACTTTTTTGACTTAGTGCATTTTGCTTGTAACCCGACGAAATATTATTATAAACAATGTGACAAAATAATTATTTAAATTTGAATGAGACCAGCATATTTATGATGAGTCCCGGAGACTCCACGTCATCGGTTATGTTCCTAAAATCGGACGTCGCCGGTAACGGGTTAATTTTCCGAAATATTAGCCAACTTTTGTTCATAACATGAATAGCAGAAAGAATTAAACTTTTCTTGCCATGTCATTGGATCAAGCTGAAGACGTCGTCTCATACAAATGAATATTTGCAATAAATTTTCGTACAACTTCTTTTCTATAATTTCTCTTAAAACCAGAAATTATTATTTGATCCATCGGTTAAATAAGTGAAGTTATATTGGCGGACAAGAAATGGATTGTTACATTATTTAGCCTTACGTCTTTATGGGAAGAGCCGTTATCAACAAATAACAGAACTTTTATATTTTTTATATCATTTTCTTGTGCAAGTTAATAAGCTGTTCCTTAAACAGGATTATTGTTATTCAAGCATTTTTATTAGAACTGTATTTTACGCGCAATTATTTTACGGGATAAAAACACCTTGTGTTTTAGACACAAGGCTTTTTGCTTTTCCAATAATGACAATTTATGGCTCCCATCGGAATTTCGCCTACAACGTTGTCCCCTAGGAAACAAAAATTTTAAATTAATTAAGGTAACACATCCGTTATCTATGTATTTGCGGCAGAGACATCAGCATCTTCTGCTTCTTCAAACAATTATTTTGAAGGAAATTTTTGAACAATCTTTCCATTTGCAGAACCATTCATTTATTGCTTTAAAGTTCAAATTACCCAAATTTTTGAATGTTTGTTTAGCTTTTTTTAACTGGCCTATTGATAGGAACATTTCGGACCCTCTACTTAGTAAAATACTCGGCTAATGCCTGTTCCACGTCTGAATATTTCACACTGCGTTTCCGTTTTTGAGTTAATTTTAGGTTTGCTCACCTGAACTTGCGAAATTACAATCTTTCTAGCAATTTTGATTTGACCCTACTTAGATCGTTTTGCGTATTTAATTACATGCATTAACTTGTTTTAAAAAGAAATCCTTTTTTTTTCAAATTTTACAATAGCATGATTTACTTGGGAGGGGTGATATCTTTACAATATCTAAGTGAATTGTAAATTAACCATTTCCAAAAATGTACGTATTAACAGACAACGAAGTACGTGGTAAATAGAAAATTTTTAAGATATAAAAAAGTGCTTTATGACCTGTGGATGTTTCAAAGAAGTATCAACTTGGTCTTGGTGGCCACAACAAAGCAATAAAGTATTTATTATCTGGCAGATCCTAATAAACGAGATATTTAAATTTTAAGGAAATTTTACATTAAAAGTTATTCGTTTATCTGAAAAATATTCTATTAAGCAAAAATAAATAACTATTAATATTTTTTTAAATGTTTTAGACGAAACTACTTAAAAATAATTAGCAGCTCTGCCTAAGTAAACAAATATAATCGATTATTTTTTTATTTAGCTGTAAAAGGTAAACAAAAATAAATCCTCTTACCGAAACAAGTCCGCCATTTTCGCAAGGGACATCCAGATAATTGAAACGGATTTCTATATTTTGATTGGGTTCTCCAAAAATGTAAATACCGCACGCTTGACCATCCACTGATAGAGCTTTGTGATAGAACTCACCCTCTTCTGCCGTCATGTGAATACAATCTGAAAAATTATAAAAAAATTTAGAAATTATTTAAAAATTTAAATTAAATTTAAATTTAAAAGGCAGAAAATATTGATTTTTCACGTTGAGAACCCCTATGAATAGATCTTCTGACGAAACCTATTAGGTCGAAATACGTATCAAGAGATACATAGGATATGTTTGCGTGAAATCAAATATTTGCTGCCTTTTCTCATTTTATTCGGATTTACTCTGTGGGAGTACTAGAAGCACAATTCGCTAAGGATTTCTGCTTAGTTGTAAAAGACATGTCGTGGAATGCAAATTTTAGATTCCCCATGTCCCTTTAAAATCTTTTATCAACGTCTGTTTGCCTTGCAATTCTTAGAAGGCTCAGATTATAAAGCAGAAATCTGAATTGTGTTTCGAAACTATTTTACGATTGTTTAATTAGATGTCGCTAGTGCGTCCGTATTGAAGCCATGTTATTGTTGCTTGATTTTTCACGTTGAGAACCCCTATGAATAGCTCTTCTGACGAGACCTATTAGGTCGAAATACGTATCAAGAGATACATAGGAGTTGTTTGCGTGAAATCAAATATTTGCTGCTTTTTCTCATAATAAAAATTTAAATTATTTGTTTTATAAAAGTTATTTAAATATCAGGATTTTTTATTTTTCACCAGGAAGATGCTAAAAAATACAAATTTGGGCGCACGTGTAGGGATTTAATCATAAAATATATAAACTAAATTTTAATATTATTACAATAAAAAAATTATTAAATGAAATGAGGTTAAATGCTCGAATAAATGAACTTTGAAAATAAGGCTATTATCGAGCACAAGTTAATTAAATCTAGCCCAAGTACTTTCGCTTAAAATAGCATCTTCAGGGGCATTTCGTCAAAAAAAGAACTATCCGGCAAGCGTAGATTGTGAAAATATTAAAAATAACATAAATTATACAAAACAGTACACTAAAACGAGGACAAACAGTTTAAAATTAATTTCATTATCCATCCAGATACTGACAGAGAATGTAGCGTAGAAGTAATTTTAAACTGTTTGTCCTCGTTTTAGTGTAGTGTTTTGTATAATTTATGTTATTTTTAATATTTCCACAATCTACGCTTGCCGGATAGTTCTTATTTTGACGAAATGCCCCTGAAGATGCTATTTTAAGCGAAAGTACTTGGGCTAGATTTAATTAACTTGTGCTCGATAATAGCCTTATTTTCAAAGTTTAAAAATTTATTAAGTAATTACAATATTAATTCCGAAATCCGAAATTGTTTGATGATAATATAAATACATTAGTAAAAGCTGAAGAAAACAAGAACGTATGAAATATGGCTCAATACAGAAGACAATGAAGATTAAAGAAAATATGCTTAAGTAAATAAAGAACTCAAAAGAATTGTAGCAAAACACAAAAATCAGTTGTAAGGGGGTAAAGTGTAGACAGCTATACTTATAGATGGACGGTACTTTAATGACAAAATCCTGGAAACTTATCAAAAATTGAAGAATATACACAAACAAAAAAGAAAACATGCAAATAATAAATCCCCAAGATTAAGAGGCACATAATGAGAGTTTATTGACGGAAAATAGACAAGGATTCGCATGGAGGAACATAAAATATAGTGGCAGTGGAAATTACAGATAATAAAATCGAAAAAACCTTAGAACGTAAAAAAAATTAAAATCATTACATTTGGAAAATGTTCCTTTTGAGCTTGTAAAATATGGCCCAAATACGCTTGTCCCAAATATGTATGCACAATTTATATAAAGTGACGTCACTTATATTTAAAATTTTCAGAACGTCAACCTTAGAGTTCAAATTCTTTTAACACAGCTAATAATACGAAACTCGTACGGAACTGCTCAATCTTTCATAAGCGTCGATATGGTATAATAATCAGAAAAATGCAATCATCATTATATTGGGAATTTTAGAATTATACTGATTAAATAACCAAAAACATTTTTTATTTTTAATAATAAAAACTTTATAAAATTGTACGCAACTGATACGCGAATAGTTCAAATTTTAATGACAATTCAGCATGTGACAAAATTGTTTAAAGTGTTGCCGCTTTTTTTAGAGTAAGAATTTTGTTTTGGTTTTGATTTTTTACACATCTAATAAATTGTATTTATAAATACATATTAAACTTAGATTAATGGCTTAAAACTAATTATTGTTGTGTATTTATATTGTACTATGCCAAAACACTCTTTTACACACACTTACACACTTTACTAGTAATGCTCTAAAAGAGGTAAGTTTAAAATTTAGAATATATAATTTTGTATTTAAATTTTTTTGTGTATTTTAGTGTTGCAGTAGTCTTAAAACCAAGTGTATTTACGGTTAATATAATAGTTTGACAAATAGTTGACATTTTAAAAATTCCTCACTAACTAATTATGCTGATATTTTGGCAACGCTGTGGGGTTCTGACGTCGTAATTCTTAAATGATGTACGATCATTTTTATATGAAAAATTCTATATAAGCTCGATACATAAAAAAACGGAACAAAAAACTGTATCAGGATTACGAAGGGATTAATATGACGGTTTTATTAGAAAAACTGTATGTATGTAGAGTTATATAATGAGGGAATAGAAAGAGTTCTGGAATAAATTAATGAACGGAGTGGTTTCAGAGAGGGAAGATCCTGCCTTGATAATATGTTTTCAATTATGTAAACAGTTTAAAAGAGATATGAATATAACCTAAATGCTTATGTAGTTTTTGTTTACTTAAAGAAAGTTTATGATAATAAGACCTCATAAAACTTTATGAAGTTCTGTGAGCTATCAACTTAAATCAGGTAGATGTGAATTTACAATAGGTATCAAAATAACATAACAGTGATAAAAGTTTGTACAAGGATACTTAAATTGTTCAGAGTGAATTAGGGACTGAGACCGGCTGCTTATTCCTATTTATTTAATTTTATCTATTAGTCCAGGATATGATGGTAAAAACTGTATAAATCCTCTGATTTTTTTATATTCATCGATTTGCTTACAATTTTGACAAAATCTATCATATGGCAATATGTGTTTCTTCTCTGGGGGTGTTTACCACCTTAAGGGCTCTTGTTAACGAACGTTTTTTTTAACGGGTAACGGGCCGATGCTAATCGGATACTCGTGTTGACAGTTCATAATTTTCAAGGGATATGCGTCCGTTGTCACTTCCGTTGACAGTATGGAATCTCCGAAATATCGTCAGTTTTAAAGTAACAAGTACACGCAATACATGTTATATCATTGTTCTGAAGCTATTTTTTTTTGTGGCATTGTAAATTAATTACTGTTAAACTGGGAATAAGCCACAATTAAAGATAAAAATACGTTTATTGACGTTTCAATTTCCACTTCGGAAATCGTTCTCAAAATACAAACAGTAAATTAAACAAATTTTGTTTTTTGTTACATAGTGAAAAATTCTTCTAATAATTTAATTTTATCTGATTAATTTATATTGACAATTCAGACATACATTATGCATTTTAAAGTAGATGACTTTAAAATGATATTGCCAATATTGTTAAGTTGCGCACCTGGGACGACTTTACTTATAAGATAGTTCATTCGATTACATGAAATCAACTTTAACTTGAGAATATCCGTCAGAAAAAAATCATAGCATGTACTTCGTCTTAACAAAGACAAACACATCACATGATGACAGTAAAATTCCCCTGTTAGTGATTCCATAGTAAAGTATGAGGGAAAACCAGGAAAAAACCTCATAATACTATCCCGACATTGTAAGTATTTGTTCGTGAATTTAGTTTACCTTCAACAAACATCAAAATTCTAATTTTATATGTTACGTTATTTAAAAAACATAAATGATGTATCCTCTATATATTACTGACTTACTAATACTGGTATTTTTTCTGGTATTTTCCTTTTAATAACTTCCTCTTTTAATATTGGTAACCAGATCCTGTCGGTCAGATAGCTCAGCGGGCTGTGCGGCTGCCTCTCATTCGCTTCACTGTCGAATGGTTTAGTGGATGTGGGATCGAGCCCAAGCTCGGTGTACAGAAAACAAAAAGTCTAACGCAGCAGTTTAAAATTCCAGATGAATCTGCGGCTTAGACTAGGATATGCTGGGATCTGATCGGCCTATGGTGGAGCAGTACGGTAAGAGATAAGGGCTTGCGGCTCGGTGATACTCCTCCATAGATCCCTACCGGACAGGCGTAACGCCTAAAAAACCGGATATATATATATATATATAACCAGATCCTACTACATTCTGCCGAGGAATTTGCGACACAATTGGCCTCATTTAGCATAATTATTAGAGCCGCTTCTTTGATTTTTCTTTTTTTACCATCCGTTTCTTTTAGGACTACATTTGAATTATTCCATTGAACCCTATGTTCATTATCCCATGCGTGTTTACAGATTTGAGATCTATCAAATTCTTTATTTTTAATATAAGATTGATGTTCACTTATTCTAACATTTAATGGCCTTGATGATTCACATAAATAAAACTGATCGCATTCACAAGGTATTTTATAAATGCAATTCTTTATCCTTTCTTGTTCATCGTTAGGTTTGGTTTTGGACAAAATAGATCTCAACGTGTTTGTTGTTTTGAATGTTGTTGAAATAAAAAAAGGACTATCAGAAAAACTTAAAAGGATAGGAAATAAATTCAACATTTCAACAACATTCAAAACAACAAACACGTTGAGATCTATTTTGTCCAAAACCAAACCTAACAATGAACAAGAAAGGACAAAGAATTGCATTTATAAAATACCTGGTGAATGCGATCAGTTTTATTTAGGTGAATCATCAAGGCCATTAAATGTTAGAATAAGTGAACATCAATCTTATATTAAAAATAAAGAATTTGATAGATCTCAAATCTGTAAACACGCATGGGATAATGAACATAGGGTTCAATGGAATAATTCAAATGTAGTCCTAAAAGAAACGGATGGTAAAAAAAGAAAAATCAAAGAAGCGGCTCTAATTATGCTAAATGA